TCTTCGTGAGAATATTGTCTGTAGCTCAGACCGTGAGCCTCCTTCCTCGGCCTCCCAAGTGCTGGTAGGCACTTGTCATACCCATCTTGAAGATCTCTTCTTCAGAACTAAGTTTTAAAGGTGACTTTAGATGTCTCCTTAGAGTGCTTGCTGCTTATTAGGAGGACCCCGGAATAGTTCCCAGTACCTACATGGTGGCTTCCACAACTGCCTGTAACTCCAGTTTTTAGGGGATCTCACCCACCCCCTCTTCTTAGCTCCACAGGCATCAGGCACATAACGTGGTACACATACATACATGAAGGCAAAAACGTTGTGAAATTAAGAAACTTTATTACTCCAGGTAATTGGATACAGTAATTGGATATTTGTCACTTGTAAGAGCCACACAATACACACAGTTGTGTTTGTGAAGCCAGGAAGCTCAGTTGTGACATGAGATAACATTTTTCAAAGCTCTGTCCCTGAGCCTGGAACCTTTGGAATCCTTTGGAATCTAACTCAGAGATTTCAACCTGCTGGGACAGATGTGTCTCCATTGACTGGCCACCCCCTAACTCCTGTCAAAAGACTGTTGAGAGGGGTTTTCAACCAGAACCCCTCAGATGGGCGAGGCTTCTCACCGTTGTGCTTTGGCCTTTTTCAGTTGGAGTAAAACAGAAAACTGGCCACACACAGTCACTAAATGCACGTGTAAAAAAACACCCGGGTCAAGAAGCATTCTTTCTGGGTCTCTGGGATCCCCTCATATTCTTTCCATAGTTCACAGCCAGTTCACCGCTGCTGGCTTCTCCACACTTAGCTGTCTCTTGCGCTTGACATAAATGGGACTGTGCCTTTCGGTGCTTGGCATCTCTCTCTCAATGTACGTGAGACTCATCCCCAACGCCTGGCGGTGGGTGGTCCGTTCTCAGTGTGATATAGTAGTTCCCAGCTTGGGGCTATTATGAGCGGTGCCACTATGAATATTCCAGCATGTGTGGTGAACAGATGGGTGCCTTTCTTCTGGATTTGTAACTAGGAATAGCCATGGTGGGCCACAACAGATGCCCGTGTCCGCTCAGCAGGCACCTCCTCACTTGGAGACACTATGGCAGTAGCCACTTGGGAGCACATCAGAGGGGTCTGAGAGCCTCCTGTTGTTGACATCAGCCCAACAAACATCACGTGAGAGAACCAAACCTGAGCATGCCACTAACCGGATTCTTTGTTTTCCCGAAATAGAAACGAGAAACTCCTTCCCCACTTCATTCATGACTACACGTAATGAATTACCTCTTAAGATACAACTCCCCTGCCCCCAATGATATCTTTATACTATTCATTTTTAAGCGGATTGCATTTTAAGTTATCACTTAGCCGTGTGCACATTTAGAGAACAGATTTTCTCCTTTCTGCTAGGTGGATTCCATGAAGTTCCCACTCGGAGAGGAGAGGTGAGGCATTTACCCAATAGCCACCTTTTTCCTCTGGAAGAGATTCTAGATAGTGGTTCTCAGCCTTCCCAGTGCCCTTTAATACAGTTCCTCCTGTGGTGTCCCCCAACCATACAGTTATTTCATTGTGACTTTGTAACTGTAGCTTTGCTACTGCTGTGAATCGTAAGTGTCTGTGTTTCCCATGGTCTTAGACGACCCCTGTGAAAGGATTGTTTGACCCCAGAGAGTTGCAACCCACAGGTTGAAAGACACTGTTCTTGATTTGAGGAGGTGATCCTGCGCTCTATAGTACAAGGTTTTTGAGCACAGTGTGGAAGATTAATCTGTATGGAGTTGACAGATCTTTAACAGAATTATATATATGTTATCTGAGAACTGTTCAGAATCCTACAAGTTTCTCTCTAGTGTTATGTTTGCATTGACTCACACCAAGTCTGACATGGGTTTGAGCAGCAGGACCTGCAAGTGAGGTCTCTTCTCCTTACCGAGTCGCTAATGGCACAAGCCGTCTATCCTTTCATCCGGCCCCAAAGAGCTGCCTGCCTGTGTTAGCCTCCCTGTCAGCAGGGGGCCAGGAGGGTGGGAAGTGCAGAGAAGTCACTTCTAGAATCCTCAGAGCTCAGTGGGAAAGGGATGTGCCAGGACCCGCAGACCTCCTGGACTGAGATTCCAGTAACCAGGAAATAACCAGCTCTAGCTGCAATGTTTAAAGAAGCCTTGGCAAAGCCTGCCTTTCACCTGAGCCCCACTGCAGCACCTTGGTCAAAGGAAGGTCTAAGAATGGGAAGGATGGGTTGTGATGAACTCAGCCTGGAGTGGGTCCATTCCGTTAGTAAATAATTGAACAAGCTTGAAGAGATCCTTTTTCCAGAGCCGAGAGCTCGCTAGGAAGGCTTCTTTGCACATTAAACCCAGTTACCCATGAGAACCTTGGCACGCGGAGGAGAGGATGTGCACGGATCACAGCACAGGTCCTGGTTGTGGTTTACCCTTTTTTTTTTTTTCCTCAAAAATCGTAAAGTGTGGGGTAGGGAAGCAAAGTCTCGATTGTGTTTTTAAAGTAGCCCCTGGACTGAAGAGAGACGAGTCCTTGATTAAGAGCATTTTGGCGCAAAGCTGTCTATAACTCTAGTTCTGGGGGACTTACAAACATGGAGGCAGAACTCTCAAAGCTGTGATGGCCATGCTTGTTTGTCAGCTTGACTGTGTCTTAAATGTATGCACATCGGTGGGGGATTCTTAAATCATTCAAAGTGGGAAAACCCACTTTTAGTCTGGACTTTTGAGGTAGGAGGAGCCATCCATCATCTGGGCCACGCCTTCTGCTGGCAGCCTGTATAAAAGACATGAAAGATGTTTTCTTCTGCTCCTTGCTCAACCTCACTAGCAAGGCCATTCTTTCACTGGTGTGAGAGCCTAGTTTGGAATTCTGGTGAATACTGACCTCCAGCCTCAGCCTCATGGACTCAACAAGCATTGGATTCTTGTACCTTTGTTCATAGGCAGCCATTGTTGGATTAGCAGGGCCACCGCCTATAAATCGTTTTAGTCGAGAGAGAGAGAGAGAGAGAGAGAGAGAGAGAGAGAGAGAGAGAGAGAGAGAGAGAGACTATAAATTCTGTAACACTAGAGGACCCTGACCAATACAAACATTAAAAATCAAATGCCCCACCAGAACTATAACCCATAAGGCCTGGCCCACAGTGGCCCACTTCCTCCAGTGAGGTCCCACTTCCTAAAGGTTTCATCACTTCTCAAAACACCACTACCCATCTGGGTGCCAAGTGTTGAGACACATGAGTGAGCCTCTGGACACAGTTTATGCTCACATTGTAAAGCTTACAAAAATAACACAGACGCATGAAAGGGCATGGCATGATCCCTCCAGAAGCAGTTGAGGGAATGTGAATAACTTTCAAGTGATAGACAGGTCCATCTGGAATCCGGGTTAGCTGAGTTCCAGGAATGGGCAGGTGTTGGTAGACTTCTTTGGGGAGCAACAGTTTCCCTGAGGGTGTGAGATGCAGGCTTTTGTGAAATGAGAGTTGGAGTGGGGATGGCTTTCTTTCATGCCTTTTCCCCTGGAACTTCAGGCCCAAGTTTAAGCCCTCCCTCCCTCCTTGAGACCTGCCAGCACTGCTTCCCATATAAGACCCTCTACACCCAGGGCATCTCAAGTTCAACATGCCTGGCTACCCATCCTCCTCCACCATAACCCTCGGGTTCTTGGTATCTCTTTTGGATTTGACTCACCTCCCCTAAGACAAGCAAGCAATGGCTCTGCCCCTAAAGGGTCCTCAGGAGCCACCCCCAATTTCCTCCCCTTAATAACCCCACATCTCCTTCCCTCCCCTTACAGCCCCCAATCGCCAGAGTAACATAGGGAGTAACATAGGACAAAAACAGCCCTGCCGCTGAAAGCCGTTTGAGGCTCCAGCTGGCTCAGATTAAAGTCTGAGCTCCTTGTCCATTGCCCAGCTGCTAATGGGCAAGCTGCTGGAACCAGCAGCTAGAGGAGGAAGAGACAGACTATATAGTGTCTGATCTATCTGTTCTGCCCTCACATCCACCCCCTTCCTCTGCTGCCATTCCCCGGTTTGTTCTCAACTGAATTCCTTTGATCTCAAGAATGTAGATCCACGCTGGGCGGTGGTGGTGCATGCCTTTAATCCCAGCACTCGGGAGGCAGAGGCAGGCAGATCTCTGGGAGTTCGAGGCCAGCCTGGTCTAGAAGAGCTAGTTTCAGGACAAGCACCAAAGCTATAGAGAAACCCTGTCTCAAAAAAAAAAAAAAAAAAAAAAACAAAAAACAAAAATGTAGATCCAGACTTGCTCTGAGGGCCCCTCATGGCTCTCTGGACAATGAGATGGATGAAAGGGGATGTCTTTTGGAAATTTCTGACAAAGCCTTTTTCCTCCAACATGAGAGGAAGATAGATGTGGAAAAGCACTTTACCCATCACTGTTCATTTCTTTCTTGAATGAGAGGTATTCAGTGCTCAGAGCGACTGCAGCCACTTTGCAATAAGGAGGGTAAAGTTAGACCAAGGCAACAGACCTGACGTTGCCAGACAGGCTAGCAACCACCTTACTGCACTTAGAGAAAATCAAACCGTTTTTGTTCAGGGCGTGCCTAGGCAAAGGATCTGTTGGAAACCCTAACCACGGGAAAGTAGGAGGAGGCAGGAAAGGGCGAGGAAGATTTCAGAGACACCTGTGGGTACAACTGGTGCAGAGCATTCCCGGAAGTGCTACAAGAGGGCGTGGCACATCTGAGAAAGGGCCAGTCCCTCGTGGTGAGACGTGCGGCCAAGTTCTGCTCTGTTACGGCCACCTCAACCCTGGGGACACACCCAGAAAAACACTTGCCCAAATGCAACCCAGTCAATATGACTCTCAAAACTAACCATCACAGGTATGTGATCTTCCCCCTAGCTGCCAAGAACAGTGGGCTCCAATGAAAGGCTTTTTCAGTACCTCTGGCTGGATTAAATACCGAGCCTGAGTATCCTTTCTGGAGGGAAGGAGGAAGTCACAATGTGACCTTTTTCTTCTGACCAGAAAGAGGCTTTGTCCTCATTTCATCCCTGGAGGAAAGTAGAGCTCCGTGTGGACTCAGCACCCCAGGTACCATCCCCACCTCCCCCATCTGCTCTGGCTTTCGTGCATGGTGCGCTGCAGAGCACGGTCCTGGAGTCCGGGCAAGCCAGGCTGGCTTGGGAATCAGGACAGAGTGCTAGGGTGGACCAAGGCAGGCAGCGAAAGTAATGGGGCGAAGCCAGTTCCACTGTGTCCCATTCTTGACCATGCTCAGTGTCCCTCCCATTGTCTTTAAGGTTGGCGTCACCCAGCAGGCACAGGCTATCTAGACTGCAGTGTTTTGGCGCCCCGCGGCGGCAGCGCTCAGCCGCGAGTCTCCCGGCGGGTGTGCAGCGCCCTCTGCTGGCCGACGACCTTCCTCTTCTTGCGTTGGGCCTGCATCGTCGGGTCAGTTGCTGATCAAAGTGAGTCTGACCCACAAGACAGAGTGAATAGGATACTTGGACCGCTGAGCCTGCACTAAGGCTGGGAAGGTAACATGAGCAACAAAATATCCTATGACAAGAGCTGTCCAGGCTGCTGCTTCAGTCAGCTGTGAGTAACCCCGAGAGTAGGTTTTGGAAGAGCAACCAGGAAGGGTGGGACACACGTAAGAATGAGGATTTAAAGCCGGAGAAAGTATGCAGGGAAAATGAAAGACTGCGTAAACTGTTGGCGCTGTGGTGAGGGGATCCCCGAGCGTCCCCAGATTCTAGATGGACCCTACAGGCAGGCCAGCTTCTGAATACAGAATGTTCCACTGGCCAGGATTATGCTGGGAGCGTGAAGAGCCTGCTGTGGGTAGAGCATCAGGCAGGGTCCAAGCAGAAGCCCTTTGAACATGGCTGTGGTTTAGGGGTGGGAGAGACGTCTCAGGGACCATAGCTAGCCCTTGAGCTTGAGGAGAGGTGCGCCAGAACAGAAGCAGACAGCAGAAGGATTCCCTGGGAGGTAGAATTCCTGGGAGGTAGAAACAGGCCCTGAGAGTAGGAGAGAGCCAAGGGTGGAGGATGGGGAGAGGCACAGTAGTGTGTTGAAGGCACTCAAGAATCGAGGTGTGAATCTGTGACCCTTTATGCCCATGCTTAGCCATCAGAGGCATCCATCAGGATGGAGACACTCTCACTGGTCACTAGCCGGTTCAGTGAGAAGACCAGAATGCACTTTGTTCCTTCCCAGCATGCCCCGCATAGTGGAACATTCTGAATTGCAGAAATCTGTCTGCCTACAGCATTGACCTTCATTCAAAATTCTAGACTCAGCTGGGCTAAACCTTTAATCCCAGCACTCTGGAGGCAGAGGTAGGCGAATCTCTGACTTCAGGGCTAGCCTGGTCTACAAGAGCAAGTTCTATAATAGCCAGAACTACTCAGAAAAGTAAAGCAAAACAAACAAAAAATAGGTCTAGACTAATCAGGAGAAGCCAGCAGCCAGGGAACCATGGGCCAAGCACCATCTTTTCACCAGGGCAGGTGTCTGCCCCTCCCCCCAATCACCCGAAGCCCATGGTGGAGCTGGGCCTAGAGACCTATCTCACAGCCCGATGCTCAGGGCTTCCTCTTTGGGTCTACCAGCTGGCAGTGACCACCTCCTAACATGGTGGGCTCTGAGGGAGAAGGGCAGTCCATGGTCCTCTAGACTGGCTCTCCCAGTAACCAGTGAGGACCTAAGTGTCCTGTGCCCCAACTGACAAGTTGGTTTATGTGCAGTCCCAGCTTTTTTGGCTCATGGTGACAGATAGCATGAGCCAGGGCTTCTGTGCTCAGGGAGTGAGCATGGACTCCCAGGCAAAGCTCACAATGAAAGTGACCGGCAGAAGAACCACTTGCTTCCCCAGGGGTCACTGTCAGCCTTGGGCCTAGCATGTCGCTTACCTGAGGGCTCTCAGTCCCTCCAGCCACTGCCCTTCCCTGTCCACTTTCCTGGACTGCAGAGAAATTCAGCAGTTAAAGCTGACCCCAGACTTAGAAAAGGGGCGGGACAAGAGGCAGGAGACGCCGCATAGAGAGCCACCTACCTGCCTCTGCCTCTTGGGTGCTGGAATTAAAGGTGTGCTTCACCACATCAAACCATCATCATCATCGTCATCATCATTATTATTAATCATCATCATCATTTTAGTGTGTGTGTTTCTGATTTTCTGAGATAGGGTTTCTCTGTGTAGCCCTGCCTGTCCTGGAACTCACTCTGTAGCCCAGACTGGCTTTGAACTCACAGAGATCCGCCTGCCTCTGCTTCCTCTCCAGGTCTTTGTAAAGAGCATTTTGTGAGGCTGGAGAGATGGCTCAGCTGTTAAAAGCACTTGATGCTCTTCCAAAAGACCTGGCTCAGTTCCAGAGAGAGAGAGAGGGGGGGGGAGGGACGGAGGGAGGGAGAGAGNGGCCGGCCAGGGTTATATGGTAAGACCTTGGAGGGAGTGAGAGAGGGAGGGAGGGAGGGAGGGAGGGAAGGAGGGAGGGAGGGAGGGAGGGAGGGAGGGAGGGGGGGGGGGGGGGGGGGGGGGGGGGGGGGAGGGACGGAGGGAGGGAGAGAGAGAGAGAGAGAGAGAGAGAGAGAGAGAGAGAGAGAGAGAGAGAGGGAGAGAATTTATTATATTGAAAGCAAAAGTAAAAGAGAAACTAGCAAGTGGTAGATAATAAAAGCCCATCAAAGCAGCATCCCACAGAAGTGCCGGAGAACTCCTGATGAAACAGTCATGATGGTGTCCCGACTGGCAGACTCCCGGATGAGCTTCTGGCCTTGTTCCCACTGCAGCCATCTTTATGGGATAAACAGTACAAACTGGAGTTGGAAACAGTCTTCCCCCTAGCTGTTCTCAGGGAAGCAGATGCTTTAACCTCCCGAGCTGTCTGCTCTTTTCTTTCTCCCTGTGACAGATTGGGGCAGGAGGTGCTATCGAAGCTGTACCTGTGGCCCTGGAGACTCCAGCTAACATCTGCCTGCTGCCAGGCTGGGGTGCAGAGAGTCCCACTAGTGTAGGGTTGCCAGAAGCTGTAAAGCGAATGCAGGAGCTGTGGGACTGGGTGGCACATGCATGTCATGCCTGCTATTCAGGAAGCTGCAGTGTGAACGGATCCCCTGAGCCCAGGAGTTCAGGCCAGCCTAGAAAATATAACGCAACTTTGTCTCTTAAAGCAAAGAAACAGGGGCTGGAGAGATGGCTCAGCAGAGAAGAGGACTTGATGCTCTTGCACAGGACCCAAGTTTGCTTCCCAGCATCCACAAAGCAGCTCACAAAAGTCTGTAATTCCAACCCTAGGGTCCCCATCACCCTCTCCTGGTTTCCACAGGCAGTAGACATACATATATGTGGGCAAAACACCAATACACATAAAATAAAAATAAATAAATCTTGGGGCTGAAGAGATGGCTCCATGGTTAAGAGCACTGACTGCTTTTCCAGAGGACCTGGGTTCAATTCCCAGCACCCACATGGCTGCTCACAACTGACTTTAACTCCAGGATCCAACATCTTCACGCAGAAATACATACAGGAAAAACACTAATGCACATAAAATAAAAATAAATAAATCTTGTTTAACCTAATAAAAAGTAAATGTCAGGACTACACAGAGTAAACCCTATCTTAAACAAAACAAAACAAACAAAGAAAATGGTTAATTAGAAATTTCATTTGGGCCGAAGGTGTAGATCAGTGGGAAAGCCCGATGCATCTAGCATGTGTGAGGTCCTGAGCTCACGTCCGGTTACCAAAATCTAAAATCAAGACAAAGCAAAGCTGCCCAAATGCCCAGCTATATTTAAATTTCAGATTGACAGCAAATAATTTTAGAGTAAAAATTATTTTATTGAAAATATTGCATGGAGTACGCCTATACACAAAAGTGACTTGTTCATCTGTTGAGAAGTGGCCAAGAAGAAGCTCTCTGGAGAGGACTTCAGACAGAGCTGAACACCATCAGGGGACAGATGGGAAAAGTTGTGAGGGAACAGCGGGTGTCCTGTGGGCCTGAGGCACCACTGAGCCCCGTGGGGATGTTACAAGGGAAAGTATTGGCCCAGGATACCCCAAGACCAAATTCTCAGCACAAAGATTTATTTGCCAAGAGGGACAAAGGACAGAGATAAGAGACAGAGACAGGAGACAGAGGAGAAGGGAGAAGGGGAAAGGGGGCAGGGACATTTGTCCTCGCGGTACAAAGGATTGCCTCTGGATAGAGACGTGGCACAGAGGCAAATGGCGATTTATAAAGGTACAAGGGGAAACCCTGTGTTAGGATGAGGGGTTTCATTTTATTTGGACACATTAATCAGGATACACGAAGGGGGCTTCTGATTGCTGGACTTCGATACTTTGACAGCTGGACCTTAGTAGTCAGTTTCAGGAGAAGGAAGTGGCCAAATAAGGGAACAGGCCTTGGTGCGTAGCTTTAGGAATGTAGTCTAACCGCTTGTAGCAAGACAGAGGAAAGGGAGGGAGGCGCAAGGCCTGCCAGAGTTATGCTCGCCGGGCCTAGGCTGGCCAGAGTCCCCTCAAGTGTAGCCATGTTAAAAATGCAGATTCTGGGCCCTCTTCTAGGTGGGTGACAGAGGGAGCCTAGGACCGGCCACAGCTCTGCAGCTCTGGGTGAGTAGACACCAGGTTTGAGGCCCTGCAGGCTGAGGTGCCTGCGTCCTGTCTGTGAATTCCTGGGGCGGCAGCAGTGAAGCAGCCAGCTTGTCTTGGTCATGCCCAATAGGAGCCACCTTAGAGACCCTGAGTAATGTCCCCAGCGCCTGGGACCAGGCTTCCGTTCACTGGCAGAGCCTCCGACCTACCTGTTTCTCCAAGGCCATGGTGAAGTTGAAATGAACTGGAAGGAGGTGTTGTTCACTGGACAACTACCACCACCACCTCCTTTTCGGTGGTTGTTGTTTTGAGACGGGACCTCACTACATAGCTCTGGTTGTCTTGGCACTCACTGTGTAGATGAGACAGGCCTGGAACTCACAGAGATCCACCTGCCTCTGTCTGCTGAGTGCTGGGATTAAAGGTGTGTGCCGTCACACTAGGCATAGGACTTTCTTGCCTGACCTGTGTGGAGCTTGACATGTAGTGATAACGCCTGTCTCAGGGCTCTTCCTGTCATGCTGGGGTTTGAACTCAGGGCCTCACATGAGCTAAATGAGTACTCTACCATCCCATCGAGCTATGAGCCATAGCCCCTCCTGTCAGCACAAGGGTCTCTTGCAGGAGGATTGGCTGTCCAGACAGGCATTGTCTCCCACATCCAGTTAAATCTAGCACTAGCCTGCGAGGAATCAGCAGCTCTTCCTTCTCAGGGATTCCTCCCACTCAGTGCTTTCCTGGGAACCCCTGGGGTGCAGAGCTTATACTCCCCACTACAGTGGCCTCAGGCTATGTCCAGGGACCCCTCACTGTCCTCTACCCTGGGGGTGAGGTGGGGACAGAATCTATGGACCTGTGCAAAGCCCAGATCGTTGTCCCAAGGGCAGTGTGACACTATGTCAGGAAGCAGGCATCCCTGAACACTCCAGCAGAGAAAGCCTCTCCCTGCTGGACCACAGACAGCCCCGCTGACTGACATCCCTGCCAGACGCTATTCTTTCCTGCCCAGAGGCTCTCAAAGCACGTCTTTCCAGCCTTCCTGCCCACCCCAAAACCTGTCTGGGAAACACAAAGGCATGTCTATCCTCAGGGCTAGGAGAAGGGGCTGGCTACCCCCTCACTCCAGCTCTGGTATCCACAGATAACTCTGTTCAGCTGACTAGCATCAAAAGAGGTGCGCGGGTCAGGAAAACAGTGCCCGAGGGCTGGCAATCCAAAGCCAGGTGGCACTCCAGGCTCACCCTGGGACCTGGCAAAGCCCTTTCAGGTCCGGGCCAGTCTAGCATTGCCACATCCTGTTTTCTGTCCCACTCAGCCGCACTCACTTGGGTCTCACTTCCCTCCTACTTGGGCTCTAGGAAGAGTGCTGCAAATAGCCAGCTTATGCAGAGCTGCCTGGCAGGTGCGGTGCGGAGCCAGGGGTCATGTTGGTCTGGGCCTTCTGTCACAAAGCCAGTGACCCGGGCTTTGTGCCACCTCCAAGTAAGCTGGTCTCGCACGGCGGCGGCGACTCTTCTGGAATTCCCTTGCTGAGATGACACCCGAGGTGCCCCCGGTTGGTGCCTCCAATGGTATCACATACCCCACCATACCAAAGGAACGGACCCACTTCCCCCATTGGTTCCTGCACTGAACACCAGGAGCCTTTACCCAGGAGACATGAACCATCTGGGCCTCTGCTCTCTTCCTCTGAGAATCTGGGCCTTCCCTGCCAGTTTAAGAGTTGTGGGAAGGAAATTCCCTACCAACCTGGGTCCTAGGAGAGTATCAGAGTGAGTGGGGCCTGGGTTCCAAGTCTCTCTGGGCTGCTACCTGAGAACCCGGTTAGGACAGATTTGGAAAGTGCTTCCCAGAGGTAGGCACCTCAGTCTGGGGGCCAGACTTTCTGTCCCTGCCCCCCCCCCCCAGCACCCTCTATTGTATGAACCACACTGTGCGCTGTGGCAGAGCCTCTGCACCTATAGGCAACCCTCATCTCAACCCCTGTGGTGATGGCAACTCTTCGCCCCTGCCCCCTCGGTCCCACTCACTCTTGACGCTGAGATCCGAGGGTACCCAGAGGCCTGGGGGGCTGGGCAATTCTCCAAACAGTGGAGCTCAGAGGAAGGGCCCAGCATCCACCTCAGCTTTGAGATGCTTGTTGCCTGGTGTGAGGGCCCAGGGGGCCTGAGACACTGAGATCTGGGTTGGCTGTGGGTACAGGGAGAGCGCAGGAGAACACAGCCACTCCACTCGGGTGCCTGGCAGAACTCACCAGACCATCTGCTCCTAGAAAGGAGGGCGGGAATGCTCTGCCAGGAGAAGTTCTTTAGGGCAGGGCTTAAACTTTCTTTGCTGGCTACCCCTTGGATGCCACCCTAGCTACATAGACATGAAACGTGTAACCAATCAAACATTTACAGGAAATAATTCATAAATAATTTTAAAGCAATTCTTAGGTATACATATAATTTTTAGTTATTGATATAATGTTATCATTTATTAAAGATGAAAGCAAATTTGCATAGCAGTGAGTTGGATGCAATTATTTATATTTACATAGCAAATATGGCATATTTTATACCATAGGACATGGAATGGCTTCAGTGGTTTTCAGGAGTGACAGAATTATAATTGTCAGTGCTGAGGACACGAATTCACATAAATGTTGAGTACAAAATAGCTGAAATATGTTCAGAGCCATCTCAGAAATTGTCTTAAATTCTGTCTCAGTCTCCAGCCACAAGTCACTGAATAGTTTTCTTTTGATGAAGCTCAAGTCAGCAGCTCAAACAGGGATTTTTAAAATCAAATATTCTTACACAATCCGACCCAGAAATGTATTCCTGTGACACATGCTGAGGAACGACAGCGGGAAAATATTGAAAGCTTTTGTTTTCCCTAATTAAACCTCAGTGCTTTTGTAAGAACAGAAAACTTTGTAAGTACAGTAGAAACACTGCAGTTTCTTCCGTAGCAGTTTCAGAGCTGAGCCGAAGGGTTGCAGGCAGCACGCATTGCTGTGTGGCACCAGAGCAGGCACAGTGCACACTGCGCATGTCAGAACCAAGGCTGCCGGGAAGTCACACTCCGCAACTCGGGTGAAGACGTCCCGAAATGCCGGGGTGATTAGACCTTTACTTCTGAATTAATGCTTGCTCTGTTGCCACCCACAGTTTGAAAAGCTGGGCTTCGGGAATTTTGTTTGTTTGTTTTGGTCTATCTTTGGTCCTCCATTGGACTTAAAGAGTTTTGTGCTCTTAGTAAAGCCCACCATCCTCTGGAGGCCTTACAGCCCTAGTTGGCCTCAGATGGCCTCTGCCTGCTGCCTGCCCTCCAGATCCCAGCAAATATCAGACAGGGAAGAGGAACAAACGCAGAAAACGAAAGGGGCCTGAGGAGAATCCAGCGCGTCTTTCTCGCTGAGAGACTAGAAACCTCAACACACTGGGAGCCCAAAGTCCCTACGGAGCTAATGTGAGTTTCCCTAAAGACAGCTCAAGCCAGAACATTCCACAGCGGGAATGAACTATGTTTCCCTGAGACCCAGAATGTTTACATGCGGAACATTCCTCGGTGTGGTTGAGGAGAGTACAGCCAGAAGCGTCTGGAAGAGTTCAGAGCAGAGAGAGAGAGAGCAGGAGACCAGACTTGGGCAGTAGACTGAACTGGGCCATGAGAGGGGGCGTGGGGAGGGTGAGAGAGGAAGAGAAGAGAGAGGGCAAGCAGACTAAGAGAGGAGCTGAGGAACAAGAGAAGAAGCAAGAGAGCACAAGGCCAAAGTAGCGGGGTGTTGTGGGAAAGAGAAGCTTCGGAGAAAGGAAGCAAAGGTCTGGAAAGGTTTAGGTAGGGAACAGGGGCGACAGAAGTCAGGACTCTGTTACTCAGTGTCTCAGCCTTTGGGGGGTCACATATCAGATATCCTGCATATCAGATATTTACATTATGGTTCATAACAGTAGCAAAATTACAATTATGGAGTAGCAACGAAATAATTTAATGATTGGGGGTCACCACAATGTGAGGAACTGTATTAAAGGGTCACAGGATTAGGAAGGTTGAGAATCATGGGTTTATAGCCAAACTATACAGGTTGTGTTACTATGGTTTTTGATATGTTAATAGGTACCTCAGGTAGCCATCTGTCCTGAGTTCCTTTATGACCTAATACAGTCTTGAGATTTACTGCATCTGCATTCCTCTCCCGCCCTTAACTCTTAAACAGCACAGCTCAGAAACCACTGTAGGAAACCCTTTAAGGTTAAAAAAATAAGCCAGCTCTTATATTTTTACCTAATTTAAAGACTTTACTTCGATTTTAAGTTTTGTTTAATCTTTAAAACTTGGAGATTACAACTCTGAGAACATAACTTAGAAGCTTAGGAAAAATACCTAAGCATAAACCAGGTGCACAGACACAGAATTTAATTCTAGTACTCTGACCAGCCGGGGTCAGTACGTACATACCTGGAGTGGCATTTCATTTCTGTCTTAATAAATCAAGCTTACCTGCAGACCAGAAAAGCAAGCAGCCAGCCACTGGCTCTTACCTCGACCTCAGTCCGAAAATGGGGATCCTGCCTCCAGGAATCCTCAGAATGAGACTGAGAGCTGTCCCCTCCATTTTATAGTCCTCTCCAGTTCTGGGATTAAGGGCAAGCACCACTACCACCTGTGTGGTAGTTTCTATGGTTTCTGTGGCAAGCTAGTGTGGCTACTGGGATTAAAGGTGTGTGTCATTGCTGCCTGGTCTGTAAGGCTGGCCGGTGTGGCTGCTTTACTTTTCTGATCTTCAGACAAGCTTTATTTATTAAAATACAAGTAAAGTGTCACTACACATACATGCACACATACATGTATGTATATGTATATATTTATAGAAACTCAAATGTGATTCTCCAGAATTCTGTGGAACTCTCTGGGGAATATGTATGACTCACTATGCTTAATAAAGAATTTATTTTGCTACTAACTTTACTTCACACTGGATCATCCTGAAGTTGTTTTCTGTGTTGTAGTCAAGGGCCCAAGAGTGGCAGTCCTCAAGGGAACAGAAGAGAGCTCCCAAGGCTGCTGAGGACAGCTGTTGGGCTGTCTCCTTGTCCCTGTAGACCTGTGAAGAAAAAAGGGAGGTCAGGTCTTCCTCTCCAAAGGCAGTCCCATCCCCCCAGGTCAGCTGCAGGCAGGGGCAGCTGGAAGCAGAGGCAAGTAGCCGAAGGTCAGGTGGAGTGATGTCTGAGCTGTGGCAAGGCAGGGGCAGTGGTATCTGCCAGTAGTAAGGGAAATGGCCCACCCTTCCACCTTCTAGCCATTGGGGCAGTAGGGCTTGGAAGGCTGCTTGCTCTTGGGTGCTGGAGATCTAAGCCAGGCCCCTGCGCACACCAGCGCATCCATGGCTGAGTGGCCCGCAGCCCCGGGTTTGGCTCTCTGGACTAAATCTGTGCTGTGGTACTGGCTTGGGCTGGTCATGACAGGTAAAGAAATGTGAGGTGGAGGCCCTGATTCTGCCTGGCGTGGAGGGAGCTGGCTACACAGTGCTCGGGCATTGACCCAGCAACTACTGACCTAGAACAGATGACCTTTGAAGGTGGGCAGGGTCACAGTCATGTGCAGGAGGTGGCCCCAAGGGTGTAATTAATGCTCACTGATTTATTGGTTTCTTTGGTCTGTTCTGTCTTCAGCCAAAACACATCTTCCGAGAGGACTGAGAGTTCTACCCCTGTCTGATCCTCTCTGTGCTTGGAGCTGGGAGAAGGTTTTGTTGTCGTTGTTGCTGCTTGGCTTTTCGAGACAGGGTTTCTCTCTGTAGACCAGGCTGGCCTTGAACTCGCAAAGATCTGCCTGCTTCTGCCTCCTGAGTGCTGGGATTAAAGGCATGAGCCTCCACTGTCAGTTGTGGTTTGTGTGTTTTTGTTTGTTTGTTTGTTTTGATTTAGCATCATGTCAGAAGTGCGCGTGAAGTAAAACTCTTCACCCCGTGTCTGGGAAGCTAAAGAGAGAGAAGAGGGGCTGAGGTCCTACAATCTCCTTTAAGGATACACCCCAAATGACCTTGAGAGATGTCCTGACTCTTAAAGGTTCCATCGCCTCCCAACAGCACATAGCTGGGGTGCCTGTAACACAAGGGGATCCTGGAGACACTCAAACCAACAGCCTGATGCTGCTAACTGTAGCTCCTGATTCTGACTCTTGGTAGCTGTTGAGCTAGGTAAATGGCAGTGTTTGTGGAGGGTGCCAGAGGCACAGAGATGCCAAACAGTTCGAGCAGGTGCGTTTCCCAGAATGCAGGTGTGACGCCCGCGCCTCTAGCAGCTTCCCTGTTCTTGTCTGCAAAGGTAGCAGCATTGGTCTTTGCACTGAGGGCTTGCCAGATGGCAGAGGCTATGCCAGGTGTGTGAGTTCCTTCCCTCTCGTCTCTGCCAAGATCGAGCCTTACTAGGTAGGGGCTACCATCACCCACTCTGCTGATGGGGTGTTGTGGCACCTAGAAACCTTCTCCATAGTCATATGGCTGCCTGATAAGGGCCAAGACTGTCAGAACTATGGCTCTAGAAGTGATGCTTTTGACTAACAGGGGAACCCTTCCTTCAAGAAAGTAGCTGGTGGATTCTGCTTCTAAAACACACCCAAATGTGCTCTCTAGGTGGCTGAAATTAGAACCTGCTTTTTTTTTTTTTTTTTTGGTGTGTATGTGTGCAGTGCTATGGGGTGGGCAGGATTTCACACAGGCTCACAGGCTGTGGGCCACAGAGTAATACCACTACTGTAGCATGAATTCTAATTGGTTTTAACAATAAAAACTCAGAAAAAAATAAAAAAATAAATAAATAACAATAAAAACTCAGAGTCAGCTATCAAGGGGTGAAAGCTGAAGGATCAGAGAAGCAGAATGGCAGCCACTAGAGTTCTTACCTCTACCACTGCTCAGACCAAAGGGGCGATCCTGTCTCTACAAATCCTTAGATTGCACCTGAGCTCCTGTCTCCTCCTGCCTTATCTTCCTCTCTCCTGTCTCCATCTCCCTGGTGCTGGGATTAAAGGAGTGAGCTACCACCTCCTGACTCTGATTATCTTTGAGTGAAGCCCAGGGTGGCCTTGAACTCACAGAGATCCTGTCTCTGTCTCCCAAATGCTGGGATTAAAGGTGTGTGCCACCACTGTCTGGCCTCTGTGGCTAACTAGTGGCTTAGCTCTGCACTCTGACTTTCAGGCAGGCTTTATTTGTTAGATCACAGACAAAATATCACTACATACCAGTCCAGAGAGAGAGGGAGGGAGAGAAAGATATAAAGGTCAGAGGGCATCTTGAGGGAGTCTATTCCTTCCTACCATGTGGATTCTGGGGACCAAACTTGGCTTGTGAGGCTTGGTACTGAGCCTCCCCACCAGCTTTGTGACCACATAGTACCATTAAGCATGTTTAGATGGCCGTGCAGCCTTATCAGTCCCTGCCTCCCAAACACTTTCCTCTTTCCAGATGGAAACTCACATCTGTTAGACACTTTTCCCTTCATTTGTCCCCCAGACCTGACAACCATTCATCCAGTTTTCTTCCTTTACAGACCTGGAAACTCTAGGTGTCTGAGGCAAGCGAAACAATGCTGTGTTTGTTCTTTTGTGTCTGCCTTGTTTAACATTATCCTCAAAGTTCATGTATTGTAGCATGTGTTGGAATTCTTTCCTCTTTGAGACTGGGTCTGGCTATGTTGCCCAATAGGTCCTCAAACTTAAAATCCTCCTGCCTCAGCCTCTCAAGTGCTGGGATTAGAGGCATGTGATACCATATCACTAGAATTCCTTCCTACCGAAGGGTGAGTAATATTCCATTGTGGAAATGGCACCCTTTGGTTATCCACTCATCTCAGTGGGTACTTGGGCTGCTCTAGTGTTTTGTAAATAAGGCACCATAAGTGTGTAGTAAAAAGCAGATTTCTATGTACTGATGAAGGAAAGAAACCATTCGTGGAAGAAGTAGGGAGGTACTTAGAGATTTCACAGTCTCTTCAATCTGGGAAGTGTGGAGAGAAGGACAGCTGGTCACTCCTCTGTTGCTTCTTTGATTTATCAGTTTTCACCCCCCAATACCTGACTCCTGAGTCTTTATTGATAATAAAAACAACTTAGATTAAAAACAACATTTGGCACCCAATGTGGGGATGTTTAAAATTCTTTGCAGCAAGATCTTACACTGGTATCTTTTAACAGGTTAATGGGGTGGGACAATTCTGTATTCTGTAAATTATGTTTTAAATAATGCTGATTGACCAGTAGCCAGGCAGGAAGTATAGATGGGACAACCAGATAGGAAGTAGAGGCGGGGCAAGGAAAACAAGGAGAATTCTGGGAAGGAGGAAGCCCATTCCTCCACAGTCCTGTCCAGACACCAAAGAAGCAGGATGTGTCCTGCCCTGCTGAAAAAGGTACCGAGCCATGTGGCTAGCATAGATAAGAATAATGGATTAATGTAAGTTAAAAGA